CCGGCCCCGCCAACCGCGTCTCCGCCTCCGCCTCCCGCTCCCGGGCCCCGCCCCCGGGCCCGCCCCCGGCCCCGCCCCGCTCCAGCCCAGGCCCCGCCCAGAGCACGGGATTTCCGCCAATCACGACGCCGCTTCTGGCTCAGACCCCCCCCGGGCCCCGCCCTCTCCCCGCCTCCCAGGCCCCGCCTCCCTAGGCCCCGCCCCCGGGCCCTCCAGCTCCGTTCCCACGGCGGTTCCGCCCAGAACGCGTTGTCCTTGGCAACCCCGATTCCTCCGCGCTTCCTGCCCCGGCGGCGGTGTTGGGTCCTGCTGGCTGGTTCCGCTCTCTCGGGCGCCTGCAAATAACGGTTCTCTCCGGTGCTAGGCCCCTTCCCGGGAACCCCATCCCAGCCTCCAAGCCTCCGACTGTTCCCACGCCCCTCTCTGGAACCCCCAACCCCCAAAGCTCGTGCCCCCTGCCTGGCCGGTCCCCGCGGCGCCCACGGGGCAGGTGGCGAGGACCCCGGGGACGCAGGGAGGTTGTGTCTGCAAATGAGGAGCGCTCAGCGGGACCAGGGTCTGCCCTCCCGGCGTCTGGGCGCCTCCAGAACCTCCCAGACCCAGGAACAGCCGGGTCGGAGGCGTTGGCCTAGGTCCAAAGGAGCCGCAGGTGGGGCCCGTGCAAATCTGGGTGCGCAAGGTGGCCCTGGAGGGAAGGCGACACATGTGCCCGCGGGGACCATAGGGTATCTGTGAAGTACTAACCGAGCCTTCCGTTTATGTAACCCGCTTCTCCCCACCCGCCCGGGTGTGACAGAGCAAGCCCAGCTCTGCACTTCCAGTTCTCACCCCTCCACTGGGGAGGCCACCCAGAGTGGGAGCAGCGGATGGGAAGGGCCGAGTGTGCACATTCCTGGTACCGGTAAAGCTCCAACGGGCTGGGAAGGAGGCGCCCAAAGACTGAGGCCGCCGGGTGCCTGAGAAGGGGACATGCCACTACCCCATTCGTGGGCTGGTCCCAGAGAGTTTGGGGGGCTGGGAAACAGAGGTCTGTGTACCTCTTTCCCAGGGGCAGCCAGGGACGGTCCTCCCGTCAGGGCCATGACTGTGAGGGTTGTGTGCCCTGCAGGGTGATGGGGAGCACCACGCTTTAGCAGCTGGACCTAGGGACGCCTGGGTGGCTCAGTGGCGGAGCGTCTGCCTTTGGCTCAGGGCATGATCCGGGGTCCCGCATGGGGCTCCCTGCTTGGAGCCTGCTTCTCCCTCTGCCTGTGTCTGTGCCTCTCTCTGTGTTGCTCATGAATAAATAAATAAAATCTTAAAACAACAACAAAAGCTGGACCCAGAGAATTTCTGTCCCTGGACCCCCACAACCTGGGCATCCATCCTTCCCACCCAGCCCACCCACCTCAGGGAGCTGGACACCACTAGTCTGGGGCTCAGAGGCATTGGCTTGCCGTGGTGCCTGCCCCCATGTGGCGGTAAGAAGCAGCCACTGGCTGGCCCTGCTTAGAGAGGGTGGGTGGGGGTGGGCAGGTTAGGGAGCCCCTCCTGGGCTGTGAAAGCTCCAGGAGCTGGGGGCAATCTGGACGGAGGACCCCCAACCATTGTTTTTTTGAGGACAGGGCCAGATCCTAAACTGCTCTGGGCACAGGCTGGGGTCTCCCACGAGGCGGGCATGGGGAAGCCTCAGGGTACTTCGGTGAGCCTGAGCCTGTCCAACTAGAGCGAAGGAGAGGAATGGGCCTTAACATTCTCTGGTGCCTCACTCAACACCGGTAACCTCAAGCTCAAAGTGACCATGGCCCCACTGGCATTTCTGCCCACAGGACACCCCTGTCGCTGACTGGGGCGAGTCAACAGTATCTCCTCCCCATGTACCAAGTCTACTGCTGTCCCACTGCCACCTCATCTGATTCTCCAGCTCTCCTGTGATCAGGTGGGGAGTGATGAGAGAGAGGGCACCCCAAGGCTCGGGTGGGTCTCCGCACCCTTCGCCTGGGCAGGCAGCACTACAAGCCGCCAGCAGAGGGAGCTGCCTGGAAGCACGTGGCCAACCACCTGGCCCTTCGCAGGAAAGGTCTAGACTCCAGGGTCCTCAATGTGGTAGCCACTGGCCACAGGTGCCAGTCCAGCCACTTGAAACATGGCTAGTCCAAGCTGAGATGTTCTGTGTGTGTAGAACAGACACTGGATTACACTGATTGGATATAAAAAATGGTTTTAAAATCTCATTAATATTTGTATATTAACTGATAAAATGATAATTTTCAAATATGCTGGGTTAAAGAAAATATCTTATTAAAATTAATTTCACCCTGATTTCGTGTTACATTTTTAGCACGGCTACTAGAGAATTTGAAGTGACCGATGTGGCTCTGATGATGGGACAGCACTAGTTGGGGGTGGTTCTCAAAGTGTGGCCCCTAGGTCGACAGCATTAGCATCACCCGGTGTCACAATGCAAATTCTCAGCCCCGCTGAGATCTACTGAGTCAAAAACTCTGATAGGCCTCCAGCGACTGGTATGTGAACCAGCCCTATGAGTGTTTCTGCTCAAGTTTGGGAACACCGGGCAAGAAGTGGTCCCCCAGCAGGAATCGCTGAGCGGGATCGCGGGCTCTGAAGGCTTCCCGCTCTGAAAGCAGGCTCTGGAGTAGCTGCCCTCGCTTGAGTGGTGCAAAGCTGCCTCCCATCGGAATGTGGGACCAAGGCCCCGTCCTGGGTCCGGCTTGTTGGAGGGGTTCAGGTAAACAGGGGATAAACGAGGCCCCGTCGGTGACCCGGAGTGTCATTACCCGAGGCTGACACCATGGATGCAGTCCTGGGTGCTACGCTACACCTGGGACATCCCTGCCCCATTTGGGCTCCAAGGATTCAAAAACTGAGCTGTGTGACACCGGGTGGAGGCGGCCCCTCTCTGGGCCAGGTTCTGAGAGACCTCTCTAACTGCTGACTGGAAGCCCGATTAGAGCGGAAGATGGCAGAGGTTGACGGGGAGCAGAGGGAGCCTTGGCCAGGGTCACCCCTATCTCCAGAAACCCTGGAGGGCTCTGGGGCAGGATCAGAGTCCTAGGGGACAGAGTCACTTGTGGATGCTCCCTCGGCAGCCAGCTGTAGGTAGTGGAGTGAAAGGAGCACTGGACGGCAAGTCTGAAGCTGGCTCTGCCTCTTTCTAGGCTTGTGTCCCCATCTGCACAATGACAGGGGCCTATGGGAATTGGGGCCGACACTGAATTCAATGCTCTTTAGGCAGCGGTGTGATGGCCCAAAGCTGGGTCTCCAGAGCCCTACTGCCTGGTTTCAAATATTGGCCACATGACGTTCGGCAAGTAAGGAAGCTTCTCCGGGCCTCAGTTTGCACATCTGTACAATGAAGGGTGAGCATCATAGCTGCCTCCTACAGGTTAACAGGAGGATTAAGTGAGTGAACACTAAGTAAAACTTTTAGGACTGTGCCTAGCACATAGTAAGTGCTCAGCAAACATCAGCTCTCCACCCTTGTTACTGCTGAAGGGGCAGTGAGTCTGTGTCAGCCTCCTCGTCAGGAGTCAGGCTGAAGCCTAAGCCTTGTTTGGAGCCGAGGGGTCAGGAGGACTGAAGGGAAGAGCACCCCGCCCAGAGGAGTGGAGGGGCCTAAGACTGCTCCCAGCCAGGGCCTGGCTGAGGGCTGGACCACTCCACCATGTGGGGGAAGGTACTAGAGGCCAGGCTGGTGGCTCCAGGCCATCATGCTGAGGAGCAGTGGGAGATGCACCTCCCCATCACTTATGCCCCACTTCCCAGGCCACACCTGATGGCATCTTGGCTCTCAGGCCCTGACATGAAGGGAGAAAGATCACAGGGTGAGGAAAGGCAGGGAAGGGCATGGACGAGCCCCAGGAAGAGGCTGTACAACCCCCCAGCACCACTGTTCGGGGCCCAGGAGGACCAACCGCTCTGGTCGCCCCACTGGGTAGGGCCAGGGTGCCGCCCTGCTCTGGAGGGCCACCCACCTTCCCTGGACTCTAGTCTCTGCTCAGCCCTATCTGGGACAGGCCCAGGACACTCAACCTCCCCAGGCTTGTTTCTCCATGTGCGTGGTGGGGAGTTGGGCCCTCGCAGCTGGCACTGTTCGGAATTTCCCTGCATCTGGAGGAGATGCCCGTTGGCTATCGCTGGGCAATGGGACGAGGCAGGGGCCTCCAGCAGGTGCTTCCTGGCCAGGCTGGCAGCCCACAGTGGGCTGGAGCCCGGCATTGGGGGGGGACCCCTGGGCCAAGCCGCATCTTGCTGCTGGCCTAGCAGCACGTGGACCAGGTAGTTCAAGAGTTAGGATGCCAGCAGGTGCGAGAGCTAGGCTGTGTGTGCTCTTCTCCCCTCTCTGGCTGTGCCCCTCAGTTTCTCTGCCCATAAAAGGAGCAGGAGAAGGGGGCTTTTCAAAGGCTTAAGTGAGTTCACACATGCTGTACTGTCCTTACCACGGTGTCCTGCACACAGGCCACGCTCAGTGGCAGGGCTGTGGTCTCCAGGTGGGCTCAAGGTGGCCAGGCCCAGGGCCCTTGCCAACCACACTGACGGCAGAGGTACAAGAAGTCTGAGAGGTGACCTTGAGCTTTCTTCTGCCGTCCTGTACTCCATACTCAGCTCATGAGCAGCCAGGAGGCACCCCCCACCCCCAGGACTTGCCTGCTCCATTTCCTCTGCTGGGCACACCACCCCTGGCGCCGGCTCAGCTCTCAGAATAATGGACAGCGTGGGCTGGGATGACCCCCCCAGAGCCCCAACGGGCCCTGGCATGGGCTATATCCTGTCCTTACTGCCCAGTGCCCATCTGCTTATCCTCTCTGCTCCCCTATCAGAGGGTATGTCCAACTGTACTTGACACCCCCTCACAGACCCGGCACGGGGCCAGGGTGGAGGCCCTCAGTGGGCAAAGGAACTTCCACCCATGAGCAGGAGGGGGGTTCCCGGCCTCGCCCCCCTCCCTTACCCCCACCTCCGGCTCCCAGGCAGTGTGGGTCAGAGAGAAGAGGCAGGAAGGGGGTTGTAAACAGTCACGTTGTTGGCACATCATTGGGTGACAGAGCATTAGGAGACCTTCTGGACCCCTGGGCAGGGGTGTGGTGGGGGTCCCCTGGGATTTCACTGTGCAGCGTGTGGATGGAGATGACCAAGGTGGCTCCAGTGGCCCCAACACCACCTTTAAAGTGGAGAAGCCTGATGCCCTACTCACTGGGTGGCATGGTGCTTGGAGTGGCCAGGTGGGTGGCTTCTGGCCCAGTGAGCACTAGGGGGTCAGGTCTCAGGGCCAGGGGCCCCAGCGCTGTCCCCGGAGCACCCACATGGCCCCAGCATGTTGATGAAGCCCAAGGGGACCAGGAGGCTTCTCCCAGAGGTGAGCTAGTACCCCGTCCCCCAGCCGGCCCTCCCCGGATGCTCACTTCCCCAGGGAGCCTGATCCTCACCCAGACAGCCACAGCCCACAGTTCACCCTGGACCCATCCGTCTAACAGCTTCCCTTTGCCCCACGGGATGCCTACCTGTTCTCTTCGGCACCTCTACCTGCCAGGCCACCCAATCTTTGAGTCACCTTCCTCAGGCCACACTCCAGATGGTCCAGGGCCCTCCACTCTAGCCCGGGGCAGGACAGGCCTGGTCCCCTCCCTCAATCTGCCAGCTATGCCTCCGTTAATGTGCCCAAGGGCAAGCCTGCCCTTGAAGGATGGTCGTCCTGGTGCTCAGGGTCGGTGGCCAGACTGTGCCTGCGCGTGCCTGAGATGTTTGGAGGTAAGAAAAGAACACCTGGGGCCCATGGCCACACAGACCCCAACACGCTGTGGCTTCTGGCCTGCGGAAGACACAGGGGCGGGGACACAGAGAGCACGCGAGCCCTGCACCCCCGACGGCCCACGCGGCCACGGGACAGCGTTACAGACGAGCCCCCTCGGCCCGCCGGGTCGCGCGCACCAGGCGCACAGGGCGCAGGGGCCCCGCCACGCTGCGGCGGGTGGAGGCGGTGCTCGCCTACAGGTCGGGGTCCTCGTGGCTGCACACGACGCCCGCGTCCTCCTGGTGCTCGCAGTTGTGAGTCCCCACGCCGGCGTGCGTGCACTCCAGCAGGTTGCGCTCGCTGCCCGCGCAGCGCACGTCGTCCAGCAGGATGGGCAGCGCGCGGCCCTCCCCGAACTCCGCGCGCTTGGTGGCCCGCGCGGCGTGCGCAAAGCCCAGCTGGCGGCACACGACGGCGGCAGCCTTGGTGTCCCACGCGTCGTCGCACACGGTGCCCCAGCGTCCTCCCGCGAACACCTCCACGCGCCCGCGCCCGGGACTCAGGCCCGCGGGCCGCACCAGGCGCACGGCGCCGGCCGGGGGCGCGGGGTCCGCGGTACCGGGTCGACCCCGCCGCCGCCCGCCACCCCTCCGACCCCCGGGCCGCCGGGTGGGCCTTGCGGGGCGCGGGGTGGGCGCGGGCGCGGCAGCCGTGGGGCGGCGGTGGCGGGGCGCCTGGGTGGGTGCTCGCGCTGGGGGCCGCGGGGTGCTCTCTGCCCTCCGGATGAACTCTGCGCAGAGGAAGAGCCTGCGGTCAGAGCGACCCGCCCCAGCTCTCCACCACGGAACGCAGACCCCTCGGGAAAGATGTTCCCATCCTATCCTGCCCTCCACTCCGACCCGGGGATGCGGTACCTCTTGGGGATACCGGCCTGGAGCTGGTGCGAGGGGCTTCCTCAGTCACTCTGCAAACGCTGGCCGGCAGCTGCTCTGTGCTAGTCTGCCTCTGCGGTGTCCCCCCACCCCTGGTCCTGCCCTCCTGGGAGTGTCTAGTCTGGGAACAGGGATGGGGGAACAGCCCCTCACACTGTTAAGCCATGAGCCCAGTGGAAGGGAAGAAGTATCTGGGAGGGCTTCGGAGAGAAAGTGACCCTTTCTGGCTCCCCTCTGGTTTAGGTGTAAGGAAGCTGAGGCCCCTGATGGGGAGATCTGCTGAGGATCTAAGGCACGCAGGCAGGATGGGAACTGGACTGCCCAGGGCCTGTCCGGGCAGGGTGCAGCTCTCCCCTCCAGGCTCCCAAGGCTGCTGGCTGGAGCTGGGGCCCACGCTGACCAGAGCCATGGTGGGGCACAGGGCACCCCAAGCCTCTACCCCACCACAGGGCCTCGGTACGTAGGCATGGGGAGCTGAGGTGGGTGACTCCCTTTGACCCCCCCCCCCCAATACATGGCCCTCACGCTCGGCCCTGGTCAGCCTCAGAGATAAACCTCACTCTGCTTGGGACACTCTGCCAGGACAGGCACAACTCCCAGACTTCTCCCTGACTATGGGGAGGGACCCAAGGGTCACCGGTCCCTCTAACCACCCCCCACCCACCTCAGCTGAGATGAAGGCTAAGAAGGGGCCTTGATTCAAGGCCATGAGCAGGGCAGGGCCAGGAGCATGGGACGTGGGCCAGATGTGCCCCCCCGCCCCCCACACACACCCTGGCTCCCACTCCACCTGCGGGGAAGGGCTTCCGGTTCCCCAGGCTGTCAGGGAGTCTTCTGCTTTGGCTCCTGCTAGTTCTGCAGCCTAGACTGCCCCCCACCCCACCCCCAGTGCACACTTCGTTCCAGGCTCAACCCCCCAGCCTCCGGGAACCCCCCACCCCCACCCTGGTCCTGCACTGCTCTGGGTCCCCATGGCAGCTGGCACACACTTCTGTAATGGCCCTGGGACAATAAATGACTTTTCTGTCTGTCCCAGGAGGGACAGGGCCTGGTCTGACTTTTCCTGTGGTTCCAACATCCAGCACCAAATGGGTAATAATAGAAAGTGCCAGAAACTGCTGAATGAATGGAAAACTCGCCAAGGCCTGAAACCAACCGCAGCTAGGATTAACCTCCCCAAACTCTGAGCTCATTCCTGCCCCCACCTTTCCTCTGCTGGGGGCACTGCTGCCTCAAGGCTGCCCACCCCCAGCCGCCGGGTGCCCAGCACCCCTCCTTTCCTTCTCCCCTACACCTCCTCCACCAGCTGTGATCTATCTGTTGGGTACCCTTGGCCCACAGGGTGATTTTTAAGATTTTTTTGAGCACAAGTTGCCAAAATTTGCAAATGGAGAGACTGTATGTAACAACCCAAGAAGGCAGGTTTGTGTCTGTCTTGCTCAAGGTGTACCTCCAGCATGAAGCTTGGCTCTGAGGTCACAAGGACTTGCGCCCACCTCCCTCCCCACCAGACTTGTTGGAACTGAACCATCTCATGGCAGCCCCTAGGGAGATGCGCCTGCCCCCGTGGCACCTTCTCCCAGCATGACTCCTTCCGGTCTTGCCCCCACCCATATGTACCCGCTGCCTCTGCCTGTCCTGAGAGCTCAGAGTGCACCTTGCCAGACACCAGTTAGCCCTATCTTTCCCTCACCCCCTCTGAGGCCTGCAGCCCCTTGGGACCACTCACCCATGGCCCGGGATCAAGGAGCTCCACCCACTTCGAGCATCTAATGGGTGCCATTCCCAATGCTAGGCATCGGGGCCCAGGAGGGACATCCAGAACCAGCTGGAAGGACCCGTATCGGGTGGGGGAGCCGCTGGGTATGGGCTGCAGGTGCTTCCCTCCCCCACTTCACCCTTGTCGGTAGGCACTTACTTTCTTTGGGCACAAAACGGATGAGGTGGCTCCTCACCTTCACCTGGGCAGGCTGGATCCGACACTTGCCGGGTGGTGCCCGTCTGCCGACATACAGGAGGTCATGAGTGCCCGCCTGGGAGCCTGCCCTGAGCCTGTCCCCCTGCAGCCAGGCAGGTGCGCATTCAGGCCCGGGCAGTTGTGCGTGGGAACACCGCGTGGGAACAGCGGCGGCCGTTGGTGGAGTGCACCCTACATGCTCCAGGCCCCTGGGGCTCGAGGAACCCAACTCCAGGACAGAAGTCCTATATTACAGCCTGCCAACTGTCCGCTCAGCATCTGCTTCAAGAGTGCTAGGGCCGGTGTTCTGATTCAGACCAGGAACTGCCTTGGGAATGTGATCAAATGTCACAGCCCTCTTCTTTCCACCACCCGCCCCCTCCTGTAACTGTGACTGCAGCCCGATTCCTGCACCCTGCCCGGCCCCCACGCCCCACAGCCTTTGGGGAGAGTCTGTCTCTGCCCCTCTGCCCCTGAATTTTAGTGATGCAGCATCTAAGGGAAGGGTGAGGTTGATCCAAAGATAAAGGGTCAGAGAGAGCAGAGGGCTGGCAGCAGAGCCGAGGGATCTGGGGCCGTGGAGGGTGGGGTTTCAGAGAGCTGAGGAGAACAGCATCTGAGAAGCGTTGCCAAGGCTCTGAATTGGGTCTTCTTTGACATCTCCGAGGGGCACAAGTAAGGCATGGAATTCCATTTTAATTAGCCTTTGGCTGTCGATCTGTGAGTCTTTGAATGGGACCGACCCTATTCTGGGACTGGCCCACGTGGGTCCAGATTTCAATAGGCTCCAGCAGCACAAGGGGAAGGCCCAAGGGGTGAAGTGGCCATGTGACATGAGGTGGCTTCCAGACAGGCTTGGCAAAAGAGGGAAACTGAGGAGGGATACTGGTCTCTCCCCGCAGAGGTTAAAGAAACACACGCTTCCCGAAGCTGCAGAAAGAGTGGGTTTTGCTCTGAACCCCAGATAACATCCACATGCTTCAGACAGACCCAGCAAGGTTTTGTTCCTTAAGGAAATTATGTAAAAAAAAAAAAATCGCTATTAGGCAAAAGGTAGGAGATGCACCCCCCAAATGCCACAGTGGTTTTGTCTGGGCAGTGATGGATGTCCCCACCCCATTCGTCCACTCCTGAGCTCTTCATTCCGGGTGTTCTCTAATGAAGCCTCTATGCAGGCTGTTGTGGGTGCAAAAGAAGACATGCTTTCCAAAACAGAAACAAAAAAGAGATGAGGCAGGGCGGGATGGGAAGGGGAAGGAATCTAGCCTATTACTGGCTCCTCCCTCCAGGGGACCTTGAACAGAACTACCGAAGCCTTTGGGGGTCCCCACCCCCATTGCATGGGGAGGATGAGCCAATAGCGAAAGAAAGGTGCCGCTTGGCAAAAGGAGAGGACGGATCTAAGGCAGCCTCTGGCATGAATTACATGCTCCATAAATGTGATATTTCCTTAGAGAAGCACTCTTTAAAAAAAAAAGAGAGAGAGAGAGAGAAAGAGAGAGAGAGAAATAACCTAAATGTCCAAGGAACGGGTAAGATGATTGCGGCACAGTGACTCAACAGCCAATTACCCAGCCATTCAAAACGATCCTTTCGAGAGTGCTGTTGCAACGTGGAAATGTTTATACAAAATAGGGAAAACGAACAAAGAAAAATGCGAAGTTTGCATGTGCTCCTCCACACTGACATAAATCCCAGAGCTAGCAGATTAAAGCCAGAGGGACCTCGGGGAAATGGGAGGGAGGGATGAAAGGAGGAAGTCCTTATATGTTTCTTGATAAATACTGATGTCAATAACGAATAGATTTGTGTATTTAAAAAAATAATAAAATTTAAATTAAAAAAAAAAAACAGAAAAAGCAACCAAAATGTGTGGTCATCAAGAAATGTCTGAGAAGCTGTCACAGACCAGGGGAAGCTAAGGAGACATGATGACCAAATGAATGGAATGTAGGATTCTGGATAGGATCCTAGAGCAGAAACAGGACAGCATGGAAAAACTGGAGAAATCCTTTAATTAATAGTAATGTACCAACATCGGTCCATTAACTGTGACTAGTGTACCATGACGTCGCAAGATGCTAATAATAGAGGACATCCTTGAGGGGTATACGGGAAATTCTAAACCATCTTTGCAATTTGTCTGTAAATCTAAAACCACTCTAATTTCTCAAAATGATTTTTGAGAAGTAAGATGGTGTTTCAGGATTTTTCCAAAGCCAGGATGTTTTAAAGTGAGGGTAACTGTCCATGTCGGGGGCTGCCAGACGTGAGCAGGTTCTCTGAGGGCACCAGGGGCTTTGTGCTGGGGGCTGACATCAGCTGTGCACACGCGGGGCAACCTGCCCAGGTGCCGAATGGAGGCACAGATCGGTAGGAGGCCAGCTGAAAAGCAAAACTCTAAGGGCTGAGAAGGACCTTGGGAAACATGATCATCCATCCGTTCATCGTATATGCCCGAGTCTTGGCTCTGCGCTCTGGGCAGGCCCCAGGGTGGCACTGACTTTGAAGGTAGGGGGTAGGGGGCAGTCCCTGTGGAGACTCCTGGGCCAGCGGGAGAGTGCCCATTACAGGTCTGAGAGCCGTGGGGAGCACTGCTCAAGACCTGGAGGGAAATGCCCCTCGGAGGCAGTGAGGCCTAAGGCTCAGCTCTGGCTCTGGCTGGGACGGGGGCGCCCACCTTTATGCGATCTCCACCTCTGTAAACTAAGTGGCTGAGATGTCAATGAGTTTTACATGGACGGAGTCAGAACACAAAACCGAATTAGTGGCTCTACATGTAGAAGCAAAGCAGATGGAGAAGGGCATGGGGAGGGTCAGGGAGGTGTTCTGAAAGTCCCAGAATGTTCCAGACAGTAGCCAGCAGGCTGCTTTCCCCAGGAGAAGGTGGGACTGCAGGGGGTAGGGCATGTGGGGTGGGGACAGGCGATCAGGTTGTCTCAGAGGCAAGTTGGGGGCCGGGGAGGTGGTGCAGGGGTGGGGTGCCCCAGGAAATGAGGAGTGACTCAGGTCAAGCCTGTCAGGTCAAGCCAGGTCAAGCCTGTGCTTCTCTGCCCCAGGCAACATCCTTGGGCCCCTTCTGCCATGAGTAGAGCTGGATTTGAGGTGGCAAATCCAGTTTTAAGACTCAGGCCTGCCTCTCCCCAGCACTATGGACTCGACCAGTCACTTCCCTTCTCTGGGTCTCAGTTTTCCCTTCTGAAAAATGGTGCTGTGAGTAGTGCCCTCCCGTAGAGGGTGGCAGAGGGGAAAACAAGGCAATGGAGGTGAGGGGTCCTGGCAGACAGCAGGAGTCCGGGCAGTGGGGGGTCGGGAGGGGGCTCACCTGGAGGGGTCGATCACTTTGTAGACAACCCCACGGGCCGCTGTGGCACTTGGCACGCCCGTTGACATGAAGTACAGCTCCCCTTGGGCGAGAAACCAGGTGAAGAGTGAGAACCGCACCTGGAATGTGGTCCCGGCCAGCCCCCCACCCCCTCAGGCTCTGAGACGGACCCCAGCCTCAGAGAGCCATGCAGGGGGTGTTCCAGAGCTGGATGCAGAGCAGAGAGAGGCAGCAGTGTCCTGGGCCACCGGCCACTCCACCCGGACCTCACCACATTCTGGCCTCATCTTGGGGACCCAGCCTGGCCTGGTCCATGCCTGGCTTCACTCCCAGCGCCACACACCTCTGGGCTCAAGTGAGGGGCCACGGCCCAGCTCCTCAGCCAACTGCTACTGGGTGCCCCCGGGCCCATGTAGCTCCTCCAGCCTTGGCGTCCCTAACCCTAACATGGGATGCGTCCCAGGGCTAGTGCAAGCAATAGAGGAGCACAGCACATGCTCAGTGTCAGCTACTGCTGCTGCGATGACTGTCCTCCTCCAGGATCCGGGTCCTGCAGAGCCCTTGAGGCCAGAGACCCTCCCCTGCTGACCAGCAGGCGCCTGCCAGGCAGGGGCAGGGGCAGAAGCGTGTGCTTGGCGGGTCTCTAGTGTGAATCCCAGCCCCGCACTTCACCCCGTGGGAGCACCAGCAGCTCTGGGACAGCCCCACTTAGAGGCTCAGTTGAGTTTCCTCGATGTCTCAGGGCCCCTGCGAGTTCTGAGCACCTGGCACCATAGATGTCCTCAGTAAATATGAGCTTTCTCCCTCCTCACCCTCATCCCACCCCCTGCCTCTCCCTGCCAGAGGCACCTATGCCCAGGAAACAGGCTTCATCATTCCTATCTTACAGAGGCTCAGAGAGGCCAAATGACTTTTCCAAAGGCACACAGCTGGTGAGTGGTGAAGCCAGGCCTGGATCTCAGCGATGTCTGTTGCCCCCCAGCCCTCGCCATTGGAGGACACATGGTGGCTGGGGGCCCCAGACCCAGGCCATGTGTGATTCAGTGTGATGGTTCAGCCATGCTAATACTTCTATCTTTGTAGGAGGACAGTGAAGAGTTCTCCCCAAGATGGGGATGATCCCCAAGGAGAGACTAAGACAGAACTCTGAGGAAGGCATGTTTGTGGGGACAGGTGCAGTCAAGGAGGGCTGCGTGGAGGTGGGGTCTAAGAATCAAGGCCCAGGAAACCCAGGGATCCTCACAAAGGGGAAGATATTGGGGGGCAACTTGGGTAACTGGGGTAGACCAAGCTGTGGTGGGAAGCTGGGGACTGGGGAGGCCAGGGTGTCGAGTACTCAATGACCTCTGACCCCCTCCAGGAGCAGCAGTCCTGCTTTGGTGGGGGTTTGGGGGCAGTTTATAGGTCCCCAAGGTGAAGATGCAACCGCTCCCTGGCAAGTCAGCCCCTACTTGAGATCCCATAGGCACAACCACGGATTTGCTGTGCCGTCTCGGGCTATCACTTCCCTCTCTGGGCCTCTTTCTGAGGGGACTTGGCCTGCAGCCCTCACACCTACTCTCCAGCCCCCTGGAGCGATCCAAGTCTCTCTGCACATGCTGCTCCCTCAGCCCGGAATACCCTTCTCCCTGACCAAGCCTGAGCTTAGGGCCCTGCTCTGGGAAGCCTCCAGGGGCCAGATTAGGTGCAGTACCCCCCAGCTCCCACCTCTGTAAAGTGACAGGCATGGACCGGGCACACTCTGTAGCCTGTCAGCCTCGTCTGCTGGGAGCCATGGCCCCCAACCCTGCGCACAGGCAGGGAGGCCCCACGGGCCCTGCCAGCCCTACCTGGGGCCAAGTTGCCTTCAATTCTCTGTGGTGTGGACTGTCCCTGGAGGACACCAGGCCACCAGAGACCCTTGTTTTGCAATTTGCAAGTGTTGGAACCACTAGAGAGGTGGGAGCCTGATCCTGGAGCTGGAGCCAGTTGCTGGGCTCTGTGCCTTCCAGGGGCCGCCTGCCCAGGCTCGCTAGTGGGCTGTCCCTGGGCCCAGTGACTTAGAGGAGGCTCCTCCTGGCTCTCCCTATCCGTTACTTGATGTCACTCAGAGGGCTGGACAAGGGCCCCTTGGGAACTGCACCTTCCAGGCCCTGCTCCTGGGGGGGGGGGGAGCACCCCTCCTTCCAAAACACATTAACCCCCTACTGACCAAAAGAAAAGGCTTTCAAGACCCAGTGGGCTTGGGAGGGCAGTGGGGGCTGGGGCTGCCTTTTTGAAAATTTAGATTGTGACGGGTGTCATCTAACAAAGGTTTCCCAGACTTAGGCCTGGGGGCTCTGGGCACTGGGCCCTGCAGGAGATACCCCTCCAAAGGCCCCTGGGTGGGCGTTGCCTAGCAACCCTGCCAAGCATCCCCCAGGCCCCACTGGGGGCCCCTCAGCTTTTGTCCAGGGACAATTGGGGCCAAGGACAAAAGCAGGAGGCTGGAGCAGGATCCAGCCTCCAGGGCCCCTCAGCCTCCCCCCTCCCTGTTCCTTGCATTGAAAATACAAGAGTCGGAATGGGAACCCACTGACACGTGGGTCAACAGAGGGTGTTCGAGAAGGCGGCGTCTACCTACTTTCTAAAGACAATGTGGCTTAATTTTATAGGCCAGACTTCTTGACCATCAGGAACCCAGGGTGGTAGAGGTCTGGGATACACTCTTCCCCCACCTGCCTGCATTTCCACCATCACAAACCCCTTCCTGGTCCACTCACTCCATGGCATCATTTGAAGCCTAGAAGCAGCCCTGCAGGTGTAGGGGGGAAACTGTCCCCAACTGGAAGATGGAGAGATAGAAGCCCAGGCTGGTGAGGACTGATGCCCAAGCAAGGTCTCAGGCCACTGCACGCTTGCTCCCCAGCCTTAAGGGGATTTCAGGCCTGAGACTCCATCCCTGGGATCCCAGGCCAAAGGACCCATGGGGTGGGGGCATCAGTCCCAAGCACAAGGCCCCAGGGCCTCAGGAGTGCTCACCGGCCTCATCTTCAGCAAAGGAGATGATATGAGGGTAGTAGTTGTTAATGAGGCCCGGGAACGCACAGGTCTGGCCTCGACCCATGCAGATCTCGCTGTATCGCCACTGGCCTGTCTCCAGGTTCTCGCGGAGGGACATCAGACGCCTGCAAAGAAGCATGAGCTGTGGGGTCATGCCTGGCATGGTGCCCAGGGGAACTCCACCCACAATCTATCCATCCATCCACTCATATATTATTCATGCAACCAGGATCATACACTGTCTGCAGGACCCAATGTAAAATAAGCATGCAGGGCCCTTGTTCAAAAAGTGCCAAGTATTTCAAGGCAGTGATAGCAGAACATTAAACCAAGCGTGGGCCCTTCTGAGCATGGGGTCTGTGCATCCGCACAGGCTGCACGTCCATAAGGCTGGCCCCCACTACTCCCTCGTAGTCTAGTGGTTAGGAAGGAGCTGGTGCTCTCATAAAGCTGGTCCAGCATGCAGTCTTCCCTGAGTACCTCCTATGCACCAGAAAAAGGCAGGGGAAAGAGACGAGCCAGTCCCCTGCCCCCTGAGCTCAGCCCCACCCACTGACCGGCAGGAGGTGGCCACGAGCTTCAAAATCCTCCAGGGCTGGTGACCAGAAGTTTGTATATACCCTGGAGCAGCCTCCACTCTGGAGCATGCGGTAGAGCTTGGGCATCTTCAGAATATGATCTTTCCCTCTGCTCCCATCAATCGCCAGGCCCTGCTTGGATGTACCCTCCCTCCTCTGAGAAGCCCTCCTGACTGCCCCCAGCGTTGGCTCCTCCAGCACTGTGCACAGGCTCTCTGAGGCTGGACCGGAGTGGACCAAGCATGGGTCTGTCTCCCTGACTCTGCTGTTAAGTGCTTTCAGCTCTGCTGCCCTCACCCTGGCACAAAGCCTGACCCAGCAGAAGGGCTTGCAAAATTAGTTGTATCTCTGTGGTGGGATGACTTCAGCACTCCTAAGGGACAGGCGAAGGGGGAAAGGAGGATCAGACACAGAAACAGAGGCTTTGGGGCCACCTGGTTGGCTCAGTCGGTGGAGCACGTGACTCTTGATCTCGGGGTTGTGAGTTCGAGCCCCACGCTGGGTATAGAGATCACTTTAGGAAAATAAAATCTTAAAAAAAAAAAACAACAAAACACAAAAAACAGAGGCTTCATCTAGACCCATTTCTAGAAGGGAAAGCTGAGTGGCAGAAGCAGACTGTCAGGGAGGGGTGGAACAGGAGAGGCCCCAACATCCAGAGGCCTAGGTCAGCGTTGGCCCTCAGCTCCAGCTGCAGATGTGCCAGCCACAAACCAACCCTGCGCCAGCAGCCTGCAAGACATGACAATTCTCTGACCAGCCTCGAGCCACCTTATTTCCATATTTCCACTCCTGGGGAAGCCTGTTCAGCTGTCCTCATGTGGAGAGGCTAGGGTGGGAATGATTTTTTGTTTGTTTGTTTTTGTCTTTTCTTTAAGTAGGTTCCACACCCAATGCGGGGCTTGCACTCACAACCCTGAGATGAAGAGATTACTAGATCCCAAGTGCTGTATGTGTATTAACTGACTCAGTCCTCAAACTCTAGTAAGCAAGTACTATTATCATCTCCCTTTTACAGACAAGGAGACTGAAGCACAGAGAGGTGATGTAACTAACTCGAGGTCACACAGCTAATAAGTGGGCGGGAATCAGACCCCGGCGATCTCAGCTGCACTTTTTTTAAAGATTTTATTTTTAAGTAATTTTTCTATCCTCACGTGGGGTTCGAATTTATGACCCTGAGAACAAGAGTCCCACACACTACCAACTGAGCCAGCCAGGCACCCCCTGAACTTTTTTTTTTTTAATCCTTACTTGGGATGCCTGGCTGGCTCAGAGGCAAAGTGTGTGACTCGTTCTCAGGGTTGTAAGTTCAAATCCCATGTTGAGGGTAGAAATTACTTAAAAATGAGATAAAAGAAAATAAAAAATGAAGAAAGACAAAGAGAAAAAAATTATTTTTTAAAATCTTGACTTTTTTAAAAGCAATTTCTACACCCAATATGGGGCTTGAACTCACAACCACAAGATCAAGAGCTGCATGCTCTACCAAATGAGCCAGCCAGGTGCCCCTCTGCAGCACTTTTAAAGCCTTGTGTCAGGTATATGTCTTCCTAGGGCCTCTATATTCCTCCGTTTTCCGCTCTGTACAATGGGAGAATGAGGGGATCATGAGGCTTCACAGCTCTCCTCGGGGAAAGAGTCCAACCCACAGCTTAGGAGGTATGTTCTCTTTTCTCCGTCCAGAACCTATTTGGGGGTGTGATGCATCCCAACCCCCACCCCATGCAAATACACTCTCTCACACACACACACCTTTAGATTCTCAGTGGGTAGGGTGGCACTGCCATATAGTGTGGGGACTGGGCAGCAACGTGCCAGGGGCCCCCATGGTCAGACCCTGGTGGGAGCCACAGCCCCTCTCCCCACCAGAAGGACCTCTCTGGCCTCTTCTAGACCAATGCTCCCTGAAGCCCCAGTCAGTTACTCCAGCCAGAGGTCCTGGTTTCCCCAGAAGCCAGGTGGCCCAGAGTCTGTCAAGGAAGTTGTTCATGTTCTCCTGACCCCCACCTTCCACCTCTGCCCTCCCGCCTTGTACTTTTGGGACTGCCGGCAGGCCTGGAGTCCACGCATCTCGGTGGGTGGGGAAGATGAACGGATTCGCAATTAAACAAGCGTCCGGTCTCTAGTCTCTCTAGTCAAGAGCTGTGCCTTCACGGCGGTGCTTGAGGCAGCCAGTGAGGCTCAAGAAGGGTATCAGGAGAAAAGGGGGTGGGTTAGGGTGTTTCCTGAGATATGACTCCAGACTTCTTCCCAGAGGAAGAAGGTCCCCACCAGCAAGCAGCTCAGTTCAGTGTGCACCTGTGCACATACGCAGGACACCTGTACTGTTTTGTTTTACAAGAAGCCAGTGGCAGCATCCACTGAGCCTGCTTTGGCACAGGAGCCCATGGGCCACTTACCCACTCATAAAGTCGCCGAAAATGTAGAGGCCGTTCAGGTTGGGGTACTCACAGCCCCGGTACACATAGCCCCCCGTGACCGACTTGCCCAGCTTGTGCGGGTAGGCGAAAATCGGCAGCACGTCATCTGCAGAGCGGGGGAGAAGCTGGGATGAGCTGGCAGGTCAGCCCCTCCTCCCCAAGGAGCTGGGTAGGTCTGAGTCTGGAGGGGCAAAGGGAGGTGAGGTCCCCGGGAGGGCCGAGGCGGGGACCCCAGAGAGTCACCGCCGGAGGAGGGTGTTTAGGGCTTGGGTAAGGCAGGGAGGAGAGCATGGGTTTGCAGGGATGGGGTGGGTGGGGAAGAGAGCCAGGAGCAAGCCCAGCGGGCGCTGGGGAAGCGGGGAGGCAGGGGCATCCAGGATGGTCCGATGGAGACGCGCGGGGGGGGGGGGGGGGGGGGGCCGGCGCACACCGCATGGGGTGGGGGACGGATCCGGGAGTCTCCAGGGGCGCGGGGAGGTCTCGAGGCGACGGGGGGACGTGGAGGGCACGAGGGAGGCGCGGGGGCGGGGTGCGGTGTGCAGACCCGAGGGTCGGGGTGGGGGTCGGGGTGGGGGTCGGGGTGGGGCTCACCGAGGGAGGCGTTGGCGCACAGCTTGCGGTCGTAGCACTCGTAGCCTTCGCGCGCGCGCCAGCCGTAGTTGCGGCCGCGCTCCACCAGGTCCACCTCCTCGAACTTGTTCTGGCCCACGTCTCCGCAGAAGAGGCGCCCGCGGCCCGCGCCGGTCGCCGGGTCCCCGCGGTCGAAGGAGCAGCGCCACATGTTGCGCACGCCCAGGGCGTAGACCTCGGGCCGCGCCGCGGGGTCGCCCACGAACGGGTTGTCGCGCGGGATGCGGTAGAGCGGGCCGCGCTCGTTGTGGTCCACGTCGATGCGCAGCACCTTGCCCAGCAGCGCCGACCTGCGGGCGGGGGGCAGGGGGGCAGGGGGGGCTGGCAGCCCTGCAGCAGGTGCCCAGCTGGGTCAAGGTCAGCCTGGGCTGTGGGGCCAGACACCCTGGTTCAAGTCCTCCCTAGCTGCTCACCAGCTGGGCACCCCATGCATGCATGCATTCATTCATTCATTCATTCAGCATTTACCAGGCACCTCCTTATGCACCAGGCTGCAGAGGCACTGGACATACACACCTTCTATTGCCCCACCTCATCCTCGCCACCAACCTTTTAGGTCTAGTGGGCGCTACTGTGATGCTCTCTTACAGCTGGGGCAGCGATGCTCAGGAAGGTCACGTAACGTGCCCAGTTGTCACAGTGCTAGTAAAGGGGGGGGGGCTGGGATCCAGCCCAGGCAGTGGGACCACAGAAACCCAAGCTCCTGGCCCCAACACTCTTTCCAACTTCCCCAACGCCTGTCTCCCCGCTGTAATTCTTAGGGTGCTCCCTCTCCTTCCTGCCTTCTTACCGGGTTGTCCCAGGGAGTGAAAACAGTCCTAAAAATGACTCATATTTGCAGTTTTCTCCCAACACCCAAGACGGTGATCGGCGTGGAATAGGTGCTCATTCAGCATTTGGCGAGGGAATGGCTGCAAAGTCTAGTGCACCATATATGAGTAGAGGTTGGGGCTCAGGGAAGCGGCAGGGGGCGGGGGCAAGGAAACACGGCAGATCTCAGGGGAACTGGGAGGCTGAGGTTCTTGCTTTCTCTCTCACCATTGAGGGCATTGGGGCAGAACCACCATATGTCAGAGAGCCAGACAGGCCTCGGCGGCCCTTCACCTCACACTGCACACCCACCACGCCTACCTCAAGATGAGGCCACCCAGGTTGCAGAGGGGGACAACTTGCCAGCTCCCCCCAAGCAGCTCTGGACTTGAACCTAGGCCACTCCCATGGCACCAGGCAACAGCAGCTTCTGGATGGAGGAGACCTCAGGACTCGTGCTCCAGAGCCACGGAGGACAGGAGTGGGGCCCTATCTCCACATCACTTCCACGGTGAGTAGCTTATGGGTTTTATTCATCCCATGACAAAAATGACACGCGCTGGCACAAATCTGCAATGTGCTTGAAGACGCTTTGAGGGGAACACACCTTAGGCATCTGTTTTCTGATGCACCTCCCTACCACCTCGCTCTTCTCGCTGTTAGCATTCTGGAGCACTCCCCTCCTCACCCCCTCACCCCCGGCTGCCTTTCCAGGCAGGACTGTGTGGTATGCACATTTGATCAGCCGTGTACCCTCATTCTGGCACGGATGGCACCCAAGCCTCCAGCTCACCATCAGACATCTCACAGTTGTCTTCTTTAACCGTGCAAGAGGCTCCCACCCAAAGATGCCCCACAGTTAATCCCCTATCATGGTCTCACCCCAAGGAGTCCCCCGCACACGCTCCAGCTTGCTCAGCACCAAGCCCCAGATGACACCCCTGCGCCCATACACTGTGCCGCCAGCTTCACTATAGAAGTGGGCAAAACTCATAGCAGCAAAATAATGTTTTAAGTTCTGTCCAATTATCCACAAATCCTTAATTTCTATTTTCCCAACTCCATCGCTAAACACATCCCAAACATGAGAAAGCTGCAGTGATTCTTACACTGTCATATATGAAAGCACAAGTCACAAATTGTGAACACGTTAATTACTGTAATCAACATCATCCTTCTATTTTTACTTTCTGGGCTAAGGAAGGTTTTGTCATTTTAGCTAAGAGAATGGAGGAGGCTGCCCTAGATATCTTCATTGACACTGTGTGTGTGTGTGTGCGTGTGTGTGTGTGTGTGTGTGTAGTAGAATAATGGCAGGCCATCTGCTCAAGCCAAGAAGTAAATAACAGCAAGACTATGCCTCAGCTTCTGGGCCATTGTGGGTGACCCTTGGGACAGAAAACCCTCCAGCCTGTACGGCCCTGCTCCAACAGCTCACGCTCCCCCTTTGGTCTGGGAAGGCTCCCTTTTCTTCCTCTGGGTCAAGCAGGGCTGGGCTGACTTCTGATAGAAGCCCAGCTTCCCGGAGGCTCTCTGCTGTCACTTATCAGGTACCCGGGACGAGTGGGTTCTGTGCCAGCCCTCCACAAACACGATCACCTTTGCTCCTCACGACAAGCCTGCCCTGGAGATTACTATTCTTCCCTCCAGCTGGTGAGTGGAAGTGGCTTGACTGGGGTCCCCCGCTGGCTACCTGCAGACTGGGCTGGGGCCCGAAGCCCTTTCTACCGCCCTGCACTGTGTGGCTGAGGAAGTAACTCCCCTTCCAGAAGAGCATGTAAACCAACCCACCGCCCAGTCAGAAGCAGAACATACTTGTTTTGGGCATTTCCAAACTTTCCAAAGGGGTCTCCGGCCATCCCGCCATCACCAGTAAAGATGTAGAGATACCCATCGTCCCCGAACAGCAGCTGGCCCCCGTTGTGGTTTGAGGCTGGTTCTTCGATCTCCAGGATTATCCTAAAAGAAGATAAGCCACCCCCACCAAACAAACAAATAAACAAAACACCAACCTCAACCAAAAACATAAAACAAGATCACAGCAATAAAACCTCCTCTTTTGGACGCCATTTCACAGTTGAAAAGACTTTTCATATCTTTCATAGCAGGTGATTTTTATGAGACTCTAGTAGGCAGGGCAGGGATAATTCACTCCACAGTGCTAACGAGGAACTGGAGTCTCAGAGAGGTTGAGCAACTTGCCCAAGGTCACACAGCCCATGGGTAGCAGAGCTGGGACTAGAACTCAGGTCTTCCTACCACTCCCCACCACTAGCTCCCCAAGTTATGATCCTGTGAAACTGTGGACCTTGCCACCGGCCCAACTGGTTTCTTCGTAATCGTAGCTACCTGCATACCAGCCACTTAAGCCGAGCACCTTCTACACATCCCCTTCATTTGTTAGGTACTGTAACTTCTAAGGAGGTGGGGTGCACGGTGTGGGTTGTGCTCAGCTACCCAGCCCCTCAGCAATCTCCTTTACTGCCAGGGCACAAAGCCTTCTGCTCCACGGCCGGCCAGCTGGATTCCGGTTGGGGTTTGCCAGTGAAGGGTAGAAAGCAAGAGGAAGGGAGAAGCCACGCTTCCCTGGCTCCTGGAGCTGCCTCCCGAAGTGGTAGTTGCACAAATGGGAACAGTGGCTCTGGAAGGTGGACTCTTGGGTTTCCACCTTAACATCTTGGTACCAGGAGCAGCAAACTTAGCAACTCAAAGAACTTTTCCCTTGTTCCCCTGGCTTCTTGCAATTACTGATCTTCGGATAACTTTGACCTTCCTCCTGTCCTTCTCCAGATCCTTCCAATGCCTCTGTAGCCGACTCCCTGTTTGCTTAGGTTTTCCAGGACTGGTTACCAACTTACTAATCCCTTATGAATACAGTTAAGAAAAACCAAGGCACAGAACGGTCAAGTAACTTGAACCCAAGACTTCAGGGCTCCAGAGCCAAGACTGGAAGCCTTTCCACTAAGGCCAACACACATGATGTGGGGGTGTGACACAGAGCCCCAAATTCCAAGTCCTCCCCGGACAGGACAGCTCAGACGGGCAGGTGTCCACCTCCCCTGGGGATCCCAGCCCTGGGAATAGGAATTGACAGTTGACTCAGGCAAAAAATGACCACTCGGTCCTGCCCAGAACCAGCCGTGCCCACTTCTCCTTCTATGTGAGTCAAGTTCTAGGCTTGTGCTTGGCAGGGACCATAGGACACTCACTCTGAAATATGTTCATCTGGATATTGTGTGTCCCACCTGCAGTTTTTATGAGGAATCACTTTTGATTTATTTTATTTATTTTTTAAAGATTATATTTATTTATTTGAGAGCGAGCTTGAACAGAGCAGAGCAAGAGAAAGCATGAGCAGGGCTGGGGACAGAGGGGGAGGGAGTAGCAGGCTCCCCACTGAGCAGGAAGCCAGACTGACACTTGATCTCAGGACCCTGGGATCATGACCTGAGCCCAAGGCAGATGCTTAACTGACAGAGCCACCCAGGTGCCCCAGAAATTGCTTTTTATTTTTTTTATTTATTTTTTATTTTTTTTTTTATTTTTCAGAAATTGCTTTTTAAAAGTCACCGATGAGGGCCACCTGGGCCCAGGTGGCTCAGCGGTTTAGCGTTGCCTTCGGCCCAGGGCGTGATCCTGGAGACCCGGAATCGAGTCCCACATCGGGCTTCCCGCGTGGAGCCTGCTTCTCCCTCTGCCTGTGTCTCTGCCTCTCTGTGTGCGTGTGTCTCTCATGAATAAATAAATAAAATCTTAAAAAAAAATAAAAGTCACCAATGGAGTACATTCATTCTGTCCCTTTGTCTCTCCTTTGTGAGAGCCATGTGATAAACTCGGTGTCTCTTGCACAGCTGGTTTGTACAAACTTGTGTCAGATAATGAGAATTACGCTTTCTCCTTTTGCTCTGGCCGCCAGGATTCTCATGGTCAAAATTAATGCTGCATGACAAGACCTACATTAGCCCTCACGTTAGCCAGCATATTTGATTCCTTCTCCTTTTTACACTTTCAGTGTCACAATTTTACAGTTTTATTAAGTGTACGATGTGCCAGTATTTGCTTATTTGCCTCAGATTGGTCCTGGTGCTGCCCTTACCTGCTCTCCATTTCAGACTCAGATCCTACAAACTACATTTCCCATGCTCCTTTGCTGGCTGGCCTCCAGCTAAGGTCAGCTGATGGAAGGCACTGGAGGAAGGGAGAAGCCAGGGTCTTTCTCCCCAGCTCTCTCTCTCTCTCTCTCTCTCCTCCAGCAGTGTCTTGGCAGGCGCTGCTCCTCCCCCGTGGCCCCAGCTCCCTTGCCCAGGCCCACTGTGGTTCCAGCTGCCACCAAGCGGCCCCAGCTCCAGGGTTCTAGTAACCCCACCTTCCCACTTTGTCCTTCCAGCCCTGGAGGTGGAGGCAGCTTCCTCCCATTGGGAAATTCAGGGTTATCTTACTTCCTCCTCAGGTTGTTCTTTCATTCCTATCACCTGAGTAGCTAATTCCCAGTATCAAATCCTGCCTGTTGAACTGCCTAGTACGGGGTTTATTTTCCTGTTGGGTCAAGACTGATCCATATGCCCTTCATGCCAGGCTGGGTCAAAGCAGTGGGGGGTCAGGGCGGGGCACAGATAATACAGAAAGCAGGCTCGTGTTGAGAGGAGTAGCTAAACCTGCTGGGGGCAGGGATGGGCAGAGGGTCCAGGGAGGAGAAGCGGGAGGTGGGGCTCAGGAGACAGATGCACCCAGATTCCAGCTGTGAGGCTTCCCAGCTGTGTGGCCTAGCAGCTCATTTTACCTCTCGGAGCCTCCACTTCCCCACCTGGTGAAGTGGGGAAAATACTACTTCCCCTGTTGGGCGTCAGGAGAATGGAACGAAATGAACCACCCACAGTGGCTGATCCAGGAGCCTGGACACGATCCTGGGAGGCTCTTCTGCGACTGTCCTTCCCTGAGCCCAGCCCCCTCCCCGGGGGTGACCAGTGCAGGCACACAGCATGGATTGGGGCGGTCACATTCTGGCACCGGCCAGCCCAAGCTCAGCCCTGCTCCCCCCCCAAGCCGGGGCCCCCCTCCCCGGGAGACCACCTCTCAGAGCCGTGGTCCACGGTGTTCATGTCGTCAGCGGACACCCTGAACTCGCTGATGCGGATCCACTCGTCGAAGCCGGACCCCACTGAGTAGTAGACGTAGAGCTTGCCGTTGTGCCGGAAGCCGGGGTGGAAGGCTAGGCCCAGGAAGCCCCGCTCGTCGCCCTCCCAGGGCGAGGTGAGCACCGCCCGGCTGACGTTCAGGAAGGGCTTGTCCAGCCGCGAGCGGTCGGGCAGGTAGGCCCACACCAGCCCCACCTGCTCGGCCACGAAGAAGCGGTGGGTGCCGTCCCGGGCGTGCACCATGGCCACCGGGTTGCGCAGCCCGTTGGCCACCTCCTCCAGGCACAGCTGGAGGCAGCCCTTGGCGTCGGCCACCACGCGGCCCAGGTTGGAGTTGAGGTTCTTGTTGACCAGCAGGCGGGGGAAGCAGTAGTCGGCGTCGTCCAGCGACAGGTAGCGGCAGAACTTGGCACGGTTGCCCTCCAGGGCCCAGAGCTCTCGGTCGGGCGACAGGTGGCGGAACAGGCCCCGACACGTCTGCCACATGTCCAGGCAGTAGTCCTCGCAGAGCCCGGGCACCGTCCTCAGGGGCGTGGACGGGTCCTCGGCGTCGTAGAGGTGGGCCGCGTACGGCGAGCATTCCTGCAGAGACAGGGCGGCCCAGGGATGCCGAGGGCAGGTGCCGACCGGCTGTGTGACCGCTGGCCAGCCCCCCCCCCCAGAGCCTCGGGCTGCTGGCCTGTAAAATGGGGACAACGCCATCGGTCTGGAGACACGGCAAGTCTCACTGAGGACAGCAACCCTCGGCCTCCTATCTCCTCACCTCCTTCCTTCTGCCTAATGCTGCTGCTTCTTTTTTTTTTTATTTTGTTTTATTTATTCGTGAGAGGCACAGAGAGAGAGGCAGAGACACAGGCAGAGGGAGAAGCAGGCTCCATGCAGGGAGGTGATGTGGGACTCGATCCCAGGACCCCGGGATCACGCCCTGGGCCAAAGGCTCAACCGCTGAGCCACCCAGGTGCCCCTCTCTTGCCTTAATGCTTCATTATTAGCACAAATAACCACAACTATCACTGCTACTCCTAGCAGCAGCAGCTGCCCTTGAGCACCTACTGTGTGCCAGAGAGGCTGCGGCAGTTTCATTTACTTCCTCTTTTCATACGATGCCTCTGCCCCGTATCTGCATGACTCGTTCCTTTGCTTTCTTTAGATCCCCACTCAGGGGACACCTCCTCAGAGAGGTCTTCCCTGACCATGCATCCAGCACTCCACTACTTCCTAGCCTCTGACTCTGCCTATAAAAACAACCCCCCCCCCAAAAAAAACGGCCAAACCAAAAACCTTACCATTACCTGGTTATTATAATTAAAAAAAAAAAAAAACCAACATGCTTGCTTGTTTACTGTCTGTCTTCCTTGGAACCTAAATGCCACGAGGGCAGGAGTTTTGCCTGTCTGGCCACTGTGTGTTCCGGAACATAGGACAATGTCTAGCACACAGTAGGCCCGTGGTGAACACTTAGGGATGTGCTGGATGTCAACTGACCCGCCCCGCCCTTAATGGTGAATGGGTGCTCCTACCTCCAGGAGTCAATCTTCACAAGAACCCATGAAGGGGAGAGAGTTACAGATGGGGAGACTGAGGCACAACTCCTCCCACATACCAGTGCCATTCGGTCAGCATGGAGGAGTCTGGGTTTGGTGGGGGGGTGACCCCACTCTCCCCAGCACCCCGGAGGCTGGCACATGTACCTGTACGAGTTGATAACACCCATGTCCACACATTGCCCTGGCCCCAGACCCCCCTTCCTCCACCACTCAGGCACCTCAGGCAGGGTCCTGGGCTGTCCTCTGGGGCAGACGGAGCAGCCACCCTCAGCCTCCCTGACCTCCCACGGAGGGCTCCCCCACTAATGAGACACCGGGGAGCCCACCCAGCACCCATATGGGCACGATCTGTAATGCAGAGCACTTAATGCCTCCTGCAGCAAAACTTTGAGCCCTGGGAGGAGGGAGCTGATGGGTAAAGTGTTCTGTCCTCCTCCCAGCCCAGCAGACAGTCCCGATTCATAGTTTGGGTGGCTTCTTGGACCCACGCTCCTGCCAGTTCAAGATCAAGTCACTCTGAGCACAGCCGAGCCCAGAGCCGCATCCCTGGCTCGGCTCTGCCCCCATTGCTCGTGCTTCTGGGTCCTCTTACCCCAAGAAGGAAATAACTGACGAGCTCTGCCCCTGGTTCTGCTTTCTGGGAGCACAGGCAGAGGTGACAAACCTGACCAGACCTCACCCCAGCCTCCAGCCTCCCGTACCCACCCCCTGAGAGCTGAGAGGGGCCCCAGTGTCACTGTCTCCCCAGCCCCAGCCTGAGAGCCAACACAGAGGCACCAGCACTCGCTGATCCAGCTCTGCCCACAGCTCTGCCATCAATCAGCTCCTGCCTCCTGCTCACCTTCTGTTTCCTGACACATCCGTCCAGTTTCACCTCTGAGCCTCAGCACACACTGTTCCCCTCGTAGGCACCCCCTTCCCTCCAACACAGCATTCTATTCATCCTTGAATAATAAGCACGGCCACTGGAGAAATAGTGCTAACAATATTAACAGCTCTGGGCATCTGGGCGGATTGTGGGCCAGGGCCATGCTGGGTGCTCCAGTGAACCCACATCATTTCCCCTTCAAGGCACCCGACTGGCGCCAGGAGGTATGTTCTCATTCCCGTCATACAGACGGGAAGAAGAGGCTGAGAAGGAAGCCCCTAACCAAGGTCACAGGCCAGACTGGACTAGCCTGGGGTTGGAGGGTGGGAGGAAGGGAGAAGCCAGGCATTTCCCTGGTCCACTGGCTGGCTCCTAACCACCACCCCCAAAGCCTACTTAAGTGTACCCCACCCCTACCCAGAGCAGAGGCCTCAGCTCCGCAGGCTCCATAAGAACCTCCCTCAGGGGGGCTGGATGGCTCAGTCAGTTGGGCGTCTGCCTTGGACTCAGGTCATGATCTCAGGGTTCTGGGATCAAGCCCCACATCAGGCACCCCGTTCAGCGGGAAGCCTGCTTCTCCCTCTCCCTCGGCCCCTCCCTCCACCACTCATACTCTCTCTCTGTCTCTGTCTCAAATAAATAAATAAAATATTTTTTAAAAAAGAAAAAACAACCTCCTTCAGTTAGAGCCCCTGATCTGAGCAGAGGTCATTATTTACGTCTGTGCCTGGCACCCTCTGGCCCCTGCCCCACCATGAGCTCAGCAGGCCAAGGTCTGGACTGACTCATCTCTGGATCCCGAGAGGGCTCAGAGGATGCTCCTCCCGCGGCAGGGGAGTCACTGACAGACCCACACTCCCCTCCTCGCTGGCAGGGCCAGGCTGGGTTCCAGCAGGAGGCCTCAAGGGGCAGCAAGTGGCAGACTGCCCTCTTGGATGTGTGTTCAGGCTCTGGGCCAGGGGCAACTCCCTCCGTGTAAACAATTGTGGTCACACCACGGCCTTGTCCTCCTGGTACCTCTATTGCTACTGTGAGGCTGAAGGCCACTTGGTGGTGTGTGGTCAGTCTCTGGTCAGTCCCTGTCCCAGGCCTAGATGAAGAGACCCCATTTCACATGTCCCACTTTGCCAGTGAGGGCTCTGTGCCCTCATGCCCATGTGCCCATGGTTCCCCTGGAACCTCCTAAGAGTCCAGCTAGCAGCTGTAGGGGGGCCAGGAAGGGTCTGTGTGCACACATGCCTCGCTTAATTTTCGCAAGGCAGGGTCACTGTGACTCCCATTAGATAGACGAGGAACTGAGGCTCTAGGAAGGCTACGTGACAAGAAGTGGTCACCTCGGGGCTCAGACCCAGCCCTCACGATGCCCAGACTGATGCTCTTCCCAGATTAGTCAGCAATGTTTCATTCAGCAAGTGTTTACCGGACACTAACTGTGTGCCAGGCACCGTCCTCAGCTCCAGAGACACAATGGGGGACAGAAAGGACTTCTGGAAGCCAATCTGAGTGCTCTCCACTCATCAAAGCCCAGTCCAGAGCTACAGAGGCAGCAAAGGGGGCCTCCAGGGTGTCAGGCTGGAATTTTAGCATCCGTGCATCGAACACTGGGCCTGGCAAGCCCTTACTCATGGCCTGTGTACTCTTACTTACACACAATGCAAACCTGGTGCTCAGACCTGAGTAATCCAAAAGCAGGACATGACAAGGGAGTGTAATGATTGCTGCAGGCAGGGATGATCAGGAACTGGCCTCACGGTGGTCAGTGGAGGAGGCAGGAGAAAACCCAAGAAAAACCAACCTAGTATCACACTGCTCAGCTGTCTGGGCCATTCAGCACAGGAGCAAACCGCCTGCTGCCCTGAAATTGCCACTGTGGAGCTGCTGACATTCGTGACTCATGGTCCTGAGCCCCAAAGGTTTCTTACGTCCACCACCTCTTCCCTAGGAAGGCCGAGTCTTTGTACACAGTGTTCTCTTGGGAGGATATTTCCTCCTCTCCCATTTCCACATCTGGCAAACTCCTATTCACGACTCCAGGCCTAGCTGAAAAGTCTTCTCTGACTCCTCCATCCTCCCAGGGCTCTGATGCCCCCTCCGGCCCTTGTGGATGCTCCCACAGACGGTATCTGTCAGTATCTCAGACATAACATCATCAAAATGTAACTCTGTAGCTTGTGGGGTGAGCTCTCTCCACTTGTGCTGTCCCCCACCCCCACCCCATTGCCAGGGATGGCTCAGCTGGCTCTGCCTGGCTAGGACTTGTCTGTCTACCCCACAGACTGCAACCCTCCAGGGCAGGGACTCCAGGGCCCAGCACTTTAAGAAAACAGGCAATATGGCAAAATCCTTAAGAGGAGGGCTTTGGAGTCAGAGTGCGCTGGAGACTGAGTCTACCATTCGGTGTATGACCTTGGGCAAGTCCCTTAACCTCTCTGTGTCTGTGTCTTCGTCTGTAAAAGGGGAAAGGAATTCCAACCTCCAGTTGTTGGGAGGAATAAATGAGATGATGCACATGTTGTTCAGTAAATGCTCAAACAATATGGCCTATCCAGATGCAAAGTTTCCTCTTCCAAGAAGCCTTCCCTGACTTTTCCAGGGAAAGTATGGGCTTTGTCCCTGTGCCCCATAGTGTTCAGTCACCCCTGGGAAGCCTTTTGTGTATTCTGGTGTGTCTGTCTCCTGACTTGAACAAGGGGACTTTTGAGGCTGGGCCTGTGATTTGCCAACTGCCTCTGGGCCCAGGAGCCAGCACAGGGCCAGCTCCTAACAGGCTCTGGGGAAATGTCTGTCCAGTACATGTATCTGCAGAGCATGCTCAACGTAGATTTCCATCAGAAACCGGCTTTGATGACTTCAGGTTATGCAGAGAGGCAAACCTCAGTTATGCAAGAAGTTTGTGATGTGGACAGTAGGAACCTGGATGCCATGTGTCACTAGCTGCCTTTTCTCCTCTTGATGACACGGGCATCAGTTGCATGAAGGTGAAGCCTGAGAAGAGAGTCCGAAGGGGCCAGGAGGGACCATCACCCTCCAGCTAAGGAGCCATCGGGCATCTGGAGGAGTGGTGGGTGCCAGATGGGGGCAGGTTCTGGAGGGGACTGTGGGAGCGAGCATGCTTGCATGGTCTCCCTCCGGCCTGGAGTCCATCTCCCCGAGACAGATGTGAATGCTTGAATGCTGTCATTGAGTGAAACTTATAAATAAAGCACCGTGGCCACCTCCCGGGTGGAAATCCGGAGGTGCTGAGTCCAGACACGGCCTTGGCTCACAGACAGCATGGTCCTCCATCCAGCATTCTCCTGCCCTCCCTTGACGCCCTGCCAGAGAAACTGTGATCCAACCTCCACTGCCTGTCCAAGTTCACTCCAGACATGAGGTCACTCTCAGAGACGCCTGGGGTAAAGCGCTAGTGGCCATTCCACCCCTGGTTGCTCAAGACCAAGTCATGCCGGGAAGATTCACAAGGAAAGAAGGGAGCCTCCTGCCAGGGAGGGGTAGCAAGACTGACCCTTCCTTTCTTCCTCCTAGGACCCACCCACCTTATTTGCCCTCTTGAGCCTGGCACATGGTAGGTGCTCAATAAAGAAATGTGGAGTGGATACATGAGCCCAACTATGTGACCAAGGGTGGGAAAGGCCTGGTTCCAAGGAGCCTACAGTCTGGTGAGGGAGGCAGATGCTTGACCAGATCATTCTGGCTCCTGTGTGATGCACATAATGGGGGCTGAGCAGAGATCCCCTCCTCCTTTGCATTCTGGCACTCCTTAGGGACTCCTTCCTTTTTTTTTTTTTTCCGTTTTTTAAAGATTTTTGTTTACTTATTTGAGAGAGAAGAGAGCAGAAGTAGGCAGAATGGCAGGCAGAGGGAGAGGAAGAAACGGGCTTCCCGTTGAGCAGGGAACCCAATGCGGGGCTCAATCCCAGGACCCTGGGATCATGACCTGAGCCAAAAGTAGATGCTTAACCTGAGCCACCCAGGCGCCCAAGGGCCCCCTTCCTCATCCACTCCCAGCCCCTCTTATCTCTGCCCCAGATGGCCCACTCACAGTGGCACTGATGTGGTTCGAGTGCCCACCAAGGACATAACTAAGCTGTGTGACCACTGAGCCAGTCCCTGCTTCTCTGGGCTTTTCCTGAATTGGCCTCTGGGCCCTCCTCCATCCCTGCCTAGAGAAATCCAACCAGAATCATCCATAGAGCCCTGAGTATGTGCCCTTTAGGCTGTGTGGCAACTCCGAGGACAACTAAGATTGCTCCCATTTTAAAGATGATGCAATGAGGGGCGCCTGGGTGGCTCAGCGGTTGAGCATCTGCCTTTGGCTCAGGGCATGATCCTAGGGTCCTGGGGTCGAGTCCTGCATCGGGCTCCCTGTGTGGAGCCTGCTTCTCCCTCTGTCTATGTCTCTGCCTCTCTCTGTGTGTCTCTCATAAATAAATGGATAAAAAATCTTTAAAAACTACAAATAAATAAATAAAGATGATGCAATGAAGTGCAGTGGTGACCTGCCCAGGGTCACATAGCCGGGAAGTAGCAGGGCTGCGATCAACCCAGTAAGTCTGACTCCAAGCCAGCCCTCCTGCACCTCTCCCAGCTGGCTGAAGGGTGTCAGCTATGCTGCCCTGCAGGGCCCTAACCGCCCAACTGCCTGGATGGTGCGCCAGGGTCAGCCTAGGGGCTTCTGGCCGTGACTCCATTTCCCCAGGCATTCTGGTCAGTCCCTCGGGAATCAGACCCATGCTGGAGGCAAAGAAGAGCTAGGGCACAATCCGGGGCGCGCAGAGGGCGGAGAGGTTCCACCAAAGGGGTGCCCCTCGGGTGGCCTGAGAAGGTGGGACCCCTCCGCCTGGTGGGGGCGCTCCCCGGGAGGGGGCACCGCAGGAAGCTAGCGGGGGCGGCCGCGCCAGGGGCATGGCAGGCGGGGCTCACCCGGGGGCCGGGCACCCAGTCGCTCCTTAGGTCCAGGGAGGGGGCGGGGGAGGGGCCGTCCCTGGGCGCGGTGTCCGGGTCCAGCGCACCCGCCGCGCTCCCCGCAGGTCCAGGCTGCTCCCCGCTCCCCTGGGGCGGCGCGGGAGGCCCTGGGCCCACACAGGCTTTCCATCCCGGTACCCCCGTAAGGGAGGGGCTCCCCGAGCCCGGGAGGGCCCGGGGCGCAGGGGGGTCCCCAAACTCCAAGGGGCTGATGACCCCCGTGTGTCCGCCCCTCTTGCTTCCCGAGGGGAAACTGAGGCCCGGGGCAGGCCCAGGGCCGAGGCCACGGAATGGCGAGGCCCGTCCCCCCGCCCGGCCCCGGCCGCCCCGGCGCGCGCCCCTCACCTGGCACAGCAGGTCGAGCGCGTAGCCGGCGCACGCGGCCCACTCGGCGGCGTCCACGCGGGCCGCCAGGGCTCCGAAGCGGCGCGCCAGCTCCGCGTCCCGCTCCGGGGTGCAGCAGCCGAAGGCCGAGTACTGCGCGCAGAGGCGCAGCGGCTGCGGCGGCCGGAAGGGCGGCCTGAAGTCCAGGCACTGCGGGTGCGCCGCCGCCCCCAGCGCCCGCAGCGCCAGCACCGCCAGCAGCGCCCCCGGCCCGGCCCGGCCGCCCGCCATGCCGCCGCCCGCCCCGCCCCGGAGCGCCCCGCCCCGCCCGGAGCGCCCTCGAGGTTGGGCCCCGCCCTGCGCTGCGGGGAGGCCCCCACCCCACCCCCACCCCGGTCGGGGACCGGGACGCCCGCGGGGCTGAACGCGCAGGGGCGCGGCGCTCGGCACCGGCTGCTCCGCGGTCCCTGCAGCCCTTCCCTCCCGGACCGGGGAGGACCCGAGACCTTCTCCACTGGGCTCCCCCCCCCCCCCCCCCCCCGCCCCGAGCCGTTAGCCCACCGGGTGCGCCAGGGAGGGACACCACCGGGAATTCCCATGCAGGCCCTTAGAAACGGGGCTGCCCCGGACTCCTAAGCAGAAGTGAAACCTGGGCCCGGGCTGAGGAGGGAGGATGCAGCAGCCTCGCGAGCACCCCACCCCCCCCACCCCCCCCACCCCCGCCCCGGGGCTGCTTCTTCCCTTTCTTGGGACGCAGATTCCCCTACAGCCCGGCCTGCTGGGCCCCCTCCAGGGTGGGCATCCTGCTTTCCAACCTGCAGTCCCTGCTCCTGCTTCTGCCCCCATCACCCGCCTGGGTCATGGGTCCCCGTGCACAGAGCAGGGAACACAGCCCCCCAGAGAGGGGAGGGCTCACCCAGCCTGGCCCTGCAAGCTGGTGCCCGAGAACCCAAGGGCCCCTGTCTCTGCTCGGACGCAGCGAGGAGCCTGAAAGCTGTGGCTCCTGGCTTGCCCATAACAACAACAACAAAAAAAGTTGAACGAACTGAAAACCGATGACTTCTCTCAGGTCCATCAGAGAACTGAGGTCTCAGGGCCACGTGCCGTCCCCCAACCTGGAGAGACAAGCAAATCCAGAGTCTCCCGCTGAGACCTGCTCACCTGGAGCAGAAGCCCTTGGAGCCATAAACTGGTAGATGGCTCAAATGGTCATTTTAGGGAACTGCTGGGGGCTGAGTGTCAACTAGTGCCAGGACCAGCGCCAGGCCGATAAGCCCCTGGAGGGGGTGGGGCAGCCACAGTCAAAAGGAGGAGGCCACAGGTGTGTGATTTTACCTTCAGAAATCTCCCCAGAGGGAGAGCTTTCTGCAACGTACCCACAGTGCTCTCCATCACAACGGCCTGCTCTCCAGGGGAAAAGGCTGCACTGGAGCTTTCTCCACCCCTGGGGGGGGTGGGGTGGTGGTGGTGGTGGTGGAATGCATTTTCCCAACTCCAACCCCTTCTAAACTTTGAGGCTTACTAAGGAACATTGGTGAGGGACGCCTGGGTGACTCAGTGGTTGAGTGTCTGTCTGCCTTCTGGTGTCCTGGGATCGAGTCTGCATCCAGCTCCCCATAAGGAGCCTGCTTCTCCCTCTGCCTGTGTGTGTCTGCCTCTCTGTGTCGGTCTTTCATGAATAAATAAATAAAATATTTTAAAAAATTGAAAGAAAGAAAGAAAGAAAGAAAGAAAGAAAGAAAGAAAGAAAGAAAGAAAGAGAAAGAGAAAAAGAAAGAGTGAATGTCACAGCCCAAGGACATAAGATTATAGAACATTTCTCCTCCCTGACTCCTTACACCCACCACAACAAGCCTTTGCTGTAATAATGGTGGTAACACACTCCATCTGACGGAATCTTAGGATCTGAGGATCTTAGGGAATCTCAAAGACAACAGGGGAGACATAAATCAGGCCAGCAGAGGAATTTGAAGCCCAGAGCTCCCACAGCGACGGCAAACGTGAGCCCCCAGTGCCACCCCAGCCAGATCAACATAAATCCTCACACTAAAAGCCTCGTTTGCCTCAGTTCCTGTTACCCAGTACAACGTGTCTGGCTTTCAAAAGAAAATTATGCAGTGTGATAAATGACAAGAAAAGACAGTCTGAAGAGAAAAAAAGGATTAGAACCAGACTCAGGTAAGACACAGAATTTGGAGTCATCGGACAGAGAATTTAAAATAAGTATGATTCATACAAATCTAATGGAAAAAGGTGACAGCATGCAGGAACAGATGGGAAATGTAAGCAAAGAGATGAAAACTTTAGGAAAACAATTTAAAAGAAACGGTCGGAATAAAAAACACTGTAACAGAAATGAAGAACGCCTTTGATGAGCTCATCAGGAGGCTGGACACTGCCAAGGAAAGAATCAGTGCGCTTGAAGATATGTCAGTAGGGACTTCCCAAACTCACATACAAAGAGGGGAAAAAAATGTTAAAAAGACAAACAGAACAGCCAAGATCTATGGGACAATTTCAAAAGGTGCGACACGTGCGTGATTGGAAAACCAGAAGGTGAAGAAAGAGACAATGCAGCAGAAGAAAAATTTGAAGTAACAAGGGCTGAAATTTTTCTAAAGTTCATGCCTAATACCAAAACAGCTGATCTGGGGAGCTAAGAAAATAGAAGGCAGGATGAACACTGAACAAATCTACACCTGGTGGCAAATTGAACTCCAATAAAAGAATAAAAATAAAATAATAAAATAAAATAAAATATTAAAAAAAAGAAAAAACAAACAAAAATCTACATCTGGACATATCATGTTCAGAACCAATGACAAGAAAAGCTTGAAAGAAGCCAGAGGGCAAAACACCTTCCCTACAGAGGAACATAGAACCACAGCACAAGGCTCGTGCAAGCAAGACGAGTGTAGAGCGGAGGCTTACGGAAGCTACAGAAAAAAAACCATCCACCTAGAATTCTATACTCAGCAAAACCATCCTTCAATGTGAAGGAAAAATACCTTCTTAGAAAAAAACAAAAACTGAGGGAATTCATCACCAGCAGACCTGCCCTACAAAAAAAAAAAAAAAAAAAAAAAAAAACGTTAAGAGAAGTTCTTCGTGGAGAAGGAAGATGACAAAGGTCAGAAACTCAGTGTATCAGATGATGATAGCATATGGATGGGTGAACGCATGACAGCAGTGCCGTAAGGTGAGAGGAAGGGGGAGTACTCTGTTATGAGGTACTTGCACCACATGGGGAACAGAGTAGTATCAATTGAAGGTGGACTTACATTAGTTAAAAATGTATCTTTCCAGGGTGCCCAAGTGGGTGTCTGCCTTCGGCTTGGGTCATGGTCTCAGGGTCCCAGGATGGAACCCCGTGTCGGGCTCCCTGCTCAGTGGTGAGTCTGCTTCTCCCTCTTCCTCTCCCTCTGTGATCTCTCTGGCTTTTGCATTCTTTCAAACCAGTAAGTAAAATCTTTTTTTAAAAATGTATATTTCCTCTGTGCTATCTGCTCGAATTTTTCTGTAAATCTAAAATCGTTCTAAAATAAAATCATAAATAAAATATATGTTGCATACACTAGGGCAACAACTAAAGTCATTTTTTTAAAGATTTTATTTATTTATTTTTAGAGACAGAGAGAGAGAGAGAGACAGAGAGAGAGAGGCAGAGGGAGAAGCAGGCTCCACGCAGGGAGTCCGATGTGGGACTCAATCCGAGGTCCCCAGGATCACGACCCTGGCCGAAGGCAGTGCTAAAACACTGGGCCCCCGGGGCTGCCCCACTAAAGTCATTTTATTTTATTTTTTTAAATATTTTATTTATTTATTATTGAGAGAGAGAGAGAGAGAGAGAGAGGGAGAGAGAGAGAGAGAGGGACAGAGACATAGGCAGAGGGAGAAGCAGGCTCCATGCAGGGAGCCTGATGTGGGATCAATCCCAGGACCCCAGGATCATGACCCCGGCCAAAGGCGGCGCTAAACCGCTGGGCCCCCGGGGCTGCCCCACTAAAGTCATTTTATTTTTTTATTTTTATTGTTTTAAATATTTTATTTATTTATTATTAAGAGACAGAGAGAGAGAGACAGGGACACAGGCAGAGGGAGGAGCAGGCTCCCTGCATGGAGCCCGACGCGGGACTCAATCCCGGGTCTCCAGGATCAGGCCCTGCGCTGAAGGCAGGCACCAAACCGCTGAGCCACCCAGGCTGCCCCTAAAGTCATTTTATTTTATTTTTATTTTTATTTTTATTTTTTTATTTTTTTTAAGATTTTATTTATTTATGATAGGCACACAGTGAGAGAGAGAGAGAGGCAGAGACACAGGCAGAGGGAGAAGCAGGCTCCATGCACCGGGAGCCCGATGTGGGACTCAATCCCGGGTCTCCAGGATCAGGCCCTGGGCCAAAGGCAGGCGCTAAACCGTGGCACCACCCAGGGATCCCCCCTAAAGTCATTTTAAAAAGAAGTGTGACTTATATTCTTCGAAAGGAAGTAAAATGAAATCATGCTAATAGCTGCTCAATTAAAATCAGAGAAGGCAGAGACAAGAGGGGAAACCAAGAACAGGTGTAATCAATAGAAAGCAGTTCTGAATGGTAGATTCTAAGTTTTAAGATAGTGACCACTTCAAATGTGAATGATGGAAATAAACGAAAAAAATCATTTGTCAGAGTGGATAAAAACAAGGCCCAGCTATAGGTTATGTATAAGAAACCCAATGTAAATGCAGAAACTCAGAAAGATTGCAAATAAAGGGGGGTGCCACGCCTGGGTGGCTCAGTGGTTTAGCGCCTGCCTTCAGCCCAGGGCGTGATCCTGGAGTCCCTGGATGGAGTCCCACGTCGGGCTCTCTGCATGGAGCCTGCTTCTCCCTCTACCTGTGTCTCTGCCTCTCTCTCTGTGTGTGTCTCTCATGAATAAATAAATAAAATCTAAAAAAAAAAGATTGTAGGGATCCCTGGGTGGCGCAGTGGTTTAGCGCTGGTCTTTGGCCCAGGGCGCGATCCTGGAGACCCGGGATCAAATCCCACGTCGGGCTCCCAGTGCATGGAGCCTGCTTCTCCCTCTGCCTGTGTCTCTGCCTCTCTCTCTCTCTCTCTCTGTGACTGTCATAAATAAAAATAAAATAAAAAATAAAAAAAAGGAAGTGCCTTTGGTATTAGAGAAATAGAAGATATTAGTTATTTTAAAAAAAATAAAAAATAAAAATAAATAAATAAAAAAGATTGTAAATAAAAGGGTGGAAAAAGATACTACACACTATCATTAATCCAAAGAAACCTGGGGATGCCTGG